GACTAGAGTTGGGGATATCAGGCTGAGAGGAGGGAAAGCATAAAGCAACGCATCTGGCCATGGGTGCGCCAGCGCGTCCATACCCAGTGGAGCGTCTGGGTCTGACAGGGAGAAAAACAGCGGGCAATGAGTGTTTTCCCATGAGGCGAAGAGATCTACGGCAGCCCGTCCGTATCTCTGCCAGATCTGCTCCACCACCTGTGGATGCAGCTTCCATTCCCCATAGAGAGGGTTCCCTCTGGATAAAAGATCGGCCCCTCTGTTCAGAATTCCCGCTACGTGCGTTGCTCTGAGCGACAGAACTCTGGTGCTGCTCCACATAATTATGTCCCTGGCCAGTCTGTGTAACTGCAGGGACCTGGTGCCGCCCTGGCGGTTGATATAAGCCACCACAGTGGAGTTGTCGGTCTTTACCAAGACGTGGCGACCCATCACATATGGCATGAAGTGCTTCAGAGCTAGGAACACTGCGTGCAGTTCCAGCATGTTGATGTGAAGCCGCCTCATTCTCGGCGACCATATGCCATTCACCGCTCTGCCCATCATAGTTGCGCCCCAACCTGTCAGGGAAGCATCGGTTGTCATGGTAACCCTGGATGCTACGGTCCCCAGCGGGACGCCCGACGTGAGAACCGTCGGGTCTCTCCAGGGCTGAAGAGCCGCCACGCATGTCTGTGTCACTTTTACTCTGCGGCACAGATGACGGCGGGGACAGAGTCGCAGCGAGGCGACCCACCGCTGAAAGTCCCTCATCATCAGAAGCCCCAGATGGACCACTGAAATCACGGATGCCATAAGACCGAGGAGCCGCAGGCACAGTCTGAATGTAATGACGTTTCCCAACTGAAAACGCGTCATGCACTGGGTGAATGACAGGATTCTCCCCTCTGATAGTGTGACATGATAAGAGAGGGAGTTTATTTTGAGACCCAAATACTCCGTGCATTGCACGGGAGTCAGGCGACTTTTGGCTTGATTTATCCTGAACCCGAGGTTGATGAGGTGGTTGATCACTGCCAGGGAGTCGCTGACTGCCTGCTCGCTTGACCGAGAGCAGATTAGATAATCGTCTATGTACGAAAATATTCTGATCCCGCGCATCCTCAGAGGGGACAGCGCCGCCTCCACACACTTGCTGAACACCCTCGGGGCTAATGACAGCCCCAACGGGATGGTCTGAAACTCGTAGGCTGCGCTCTGATAAGCGAACCTGAGAAACTTTCTGTGTGGGGGGTAAATGGAGATGTGAAAATAGGCGTCCGCGAGGTCGATGGTTACAAACCAATCCCCCGGACGGATGGAACGGCACAGTGCTTTGTGTGTGAGCATCCTGAATGTATATCTGCGTAAGTGTCTGTTTAACACACGCAGGTCCAGAATGGGGCGTAGTGATACGCCGTCTTTCTTTGGAATGAGAAAATAGCGCGAGTAGAAGCCCTGACGAACCTCCTCGTCCGGTACAACTCTGATCGCTTTTTTCTCTAACAGGGATGCTATTTCGTCTTTCAGGATGTGAGCTGAATCCCCGGTGGCAACCGAGGAGAGCACTCCGTTGAATCTCGGAGGTCTCGTGGCAAACTGCAGTCTGTAACCCTTGGAGATTGTATGCAAAACCCATGGAGAGACAGCGCATGCGCGCCACTGATCTGCCCGCTGCTGAGTGACGTCATCCCCTCTGCACTGCTGCGCTCGGCTCTGTTGTAAAGAGCGCGAGCTCCCTCTGCTGGGCGCAGAGGGGAGTGGCAGAGAGCCATTTGTGTTAATTTCTTTCTTTTTTGTGGGGGGCTTTCTGCCCTTGGCAACATGCCTGGCTGCAGAAAAGCTGTGTTTATTTTCTCTAATTCCCCCTGAACAACACTTTGTAACATGGGGCACAGCTCAGTGCTTGGTGACACTGATAACGTGCTGTGGAGTGTTTTGTGACACTGTGTCCTCCACCCCAAAATGTCTTCTCTCTGAACGTGAGAGGGAGAATTTAACATGCCTCCTGGTGAACTGGGAACTACAGGAGCATCTGAATCCTGGACAGAGAAGTTTGCCCTGGTGCCTGGAAACCTTCTCTTCAGAGGGGAGATGGTTAACAGTGGGGTTAGGTTGCCCGCTTTTTCTTGCTCTCCCCAGGGTGGGATGGACGATTTTTTGCAGCGGCCGCTGCAAAAGAGTGCTTCCCCCATGGTCTTGGGTTCTCCGCTTTGCTTTGCTGGCTGGATTGTGTGGCAGGTCTCCTTGAAGGCTTGGCTCCACCTTGCCGTACTCTCACTGCAGCAGCCGCAAACCCAGGTCTGGGTCCCTGTGGGGGGGTTTGGCTGGGCTTACGAGGCAAACAAAGGTTAAAAGCCTCTCCCTCCTGTTTTCTGAGGATACTTGTCTCCCTCATCTTCTCCAAGGAGGGGCCAAATAGACCTTTTGTCGGGTCATAGGGCGCATCCATGATCTCGGCCTTCTGGGAATCACTCAGGCCTGACAGGTTTAACCATAGGCCTCTTTCCCCTAAGACAGCCAGACCCATGACCCGACCACAACCTTGAACAGCACCTCTAGAGGAGCGCAAGATGAGATCGTTCACCACACAGATCTCATCCCATAGACTGGGGTTAGGTGTCCCCGAGTCCAGTTGACGCCCCATCTCCTCCAAGATTTCACCTTGGTACGCAGACAGCAGTGTAACCGCGTTAAGTGAGCACACTGACTGACCCGCATATCTGTACATCCTTTGGTAAATGGAGGCTGTGAGGCGGTCCATTTTACCTGGGAGCGAGATGTTTGAGGATGCTGAAACCGATCTGCGGTTAGGGTGGAGGTGGTAAGCAACTGAAGGCTCTACAGCTGGGGGTTCGGCCAGCCCCAGCTCACCCATGCCCTGTATCTCCAGCTTAGAGAAGCCCTTGGTGGGAAGCTTACTCTTAAATGGGCTGGACCAGAAACGGCTCATTTCTCTCATGCAAGCAGGAACGGCTGGTAAAAGTTGCTTTGCTGGTGGTAAAGCTGGTGGAAGCCTTTTACCGTCGTACAGGTCCCGTTCTGCTCCTTCTGAATCCTGCGCTGCAGGCCAGGGGATGTTCAGCTTTAAAGCCGCCCGTCTGCACACATCGTACAGATCACTATCCCCCGGGGAGGTGACTTCTGCCCCGCTTGGAGGCCTGGAGTGATGACCCGGGAAGGTCGAGTCCTCCTCCTCCTCCTCCATGTCCTCCAGTTCCAGGAGGTCGGAGTTAGCGTCACCCTCCGTTTCGTCGATGTCTGCCTCGAGTTTCCCGCTGTCCATAAGGCCCTCAAACAGAGGAGGCATGGACGGGTACTCCTCTTCCATCACGTCCGCCCAGCTCTTAGAGGCTAGCGGCGGATGGTTTTCACCCGCCGCCACAACGGCTGCAGGTGAGGAGAAGCAAGGGTCCTGGCTGTTAGCAACAGCCACCCTCAGCCACCTCTCCAGGATCTTTTCCGGCATCGACGTGCAGTGCTGGCATCCCTGAGGGTCCGCCAGCGATGCCTGAGCGTGCTTAGCGCCCATACATGCTATACACATCGGATGAGGGTCCCGCCCAGAGATAGATGCCCCGCATGACGCTGGACACGGGCGGGATACAACCTCTTTAGCCTTCGGTTCCGAACCTTTGGCAGGGGTAGGAGCCGCAGACATGACTGTGGTTAAACACGGAGCTCGTCGCTACACGTTAGCTCTTTACTGATATAAAGTCCGTTCGCCACAACACGTTAACCGGACTCTTATGCTAGCGATACAGTGCTAGCCAAAAACCAAGCCCACCTTTACGTGTTAGCTCGGCTGACACAAGCGCTCTCTATTCCGTTAATTAAAACGGAGTAGATACAGGGACAGCTCGCCTTTACGCGGTCACCGCTCCCAGCGTTTGTGTTCCAGAAAGTGCTTCTGCCGAAGCGCTTACTCAGCACGGTACAGGCCTGTCCTGGTCCTGCGTTCAGCGACGTTTTCCTTTACGGAACGCCTGAGAACAGTTAAACAGGTCCAAGCTAGCCTGAGCGCGCTGAGGGAGCTTAGTTGTAGTCTTCACACGGGAAGAAAGCGAGAATGAGTTGAGGCGGGTAGGTTGGCCGTGATCTAGCTAGTGGGTGGAGCCACGGACACGGCTCAACCTGTCTGTCTCAGACAGACGTGATGTCATTGGAGCTCCCGTAGTTGGTCAAGCCAAGGCGATTCCCATAGTGAAACACCGAGCGAAGTTAGAAAAAGAACTGGTTTAAAGACATTATTACTTCATTTTTTGCATCAGCGGTTTGTTTAAAATTGCCTAGAATAAACTATTATCACGGTTTATAGTTACTTAAACAATCTGCGCTACATTTTTAAGTATTTAGGACACATCATCGTGTCGACTAGAGCTGTTACAGTCACACGAAAAAGTTTGGGCATCCCTTTTAATCTTCATTATTTTTATTTCTAAATATTTAGGTGTTTGCAACATTTATTTTAGTTTGATGTATCTAATAACTGTTGGACACAGAAATATTTCAGTATTGAATTGAGGTTTATTGGACAAACAGAAAATGTGCAATACTGAAATATTTCTGTGTCCATTAGTTATTATATATATATATCAAACTGAAATAGCTGTTGCAAACACCCAAATATTTAGAAATAAAAATAATGAAGATTAATTGAGGTGCCCATACTTTTTCATAAGACCGTATATGGCGGTGATCGATTTCTGTAATGTCAAATAATGATCACCCCCCAAAAAAGTTTTTTTTTTTTTTTTTCCTGGAGGTCAGTCATGTTTTTGAATTGAACTGAATTGAATACATCTTATTTAACATTCATCTATTATTTTAACTGTTTACCTTGTAATCTTTGTTAGACTTTGTTGCAGCATTTGGACTTACAGTAATGCATTGTATTAGTAAGCACTAATAACCACACGTTTTTTTGGTTTCTTTTTTTGTTTTTAGTAGAACAGTAAAAAAAAAAGTTGCCTGCTTAGTTGTTTATGAGTTCTCATTGATCATACTGTGTGTGATAACAGGCCGCTTCAGGAGCGCTCAGCAGTCTGGGCCATGTTTACACAGCCATAGGCGACTACCCCAACGCACTGGCCAGCCACAAACAGTGTGTCCTGCTGGCCCGGCAGACCCAGTGCCAGCTATCTGAGGCGCGCCAGCTGGGCGACATGGGTGCTGTTTACACAGCGCTGGGAGACTTCACCAATGCTGTCCAGTGTCACGAGCAACACCTGGACATCGCAAAGGTAAAAAACCCATGTGTTTAGCCCCATTTACACTACTCCTCTGAAACCATGACGACGTTGGTCTGAGCACGGTAACCGAGATAACTGTTGAGTGTAAAATGGTATGCAAAACTGAACCGAACCGAGCCAGACGCCCTGAACCGCTCTAACACGCTCTAACATAGAGTGCATCAGCAGACTGCATCGTCTCGTTATAGTCAGCCTCCATAATCATAACATTTCACACATTCATAAAAATACTAGCTTCCCCAGATGTTTTCCAGGGATCATTCTGCTTAGTGTGATGAACCTTAAAATCCATCGTTGCTTCCTGCATCTGTAAGTCCTGATTATACTATCATTTTTCGTATCCACTTCCCAAAAGCCGACTCTGTAAATCCACCAAAGGCTGCCTTCTTCGCCTGACTCTCCGCAAGCAACGAAATATCACAATTATAACCGAACTTCCTGAATGTTACAAAGGCCGCCATGTTGAACCTATAAACCAAAACAATATAACTTTTCTTTTTTAATATTACTTTTATCTGCTTTATCATTAGTTATTCATACAGTAAATTTTTTTTATATATTGTCACTGGATGTAATTTATCCCCATTCTGTCAACCAAGATTTTGGTTTCCATTAGGGCTGCAACTAACAATTATTTTGCTAATCAAATAATCTGTCGGTTATTCTTTCGTTGAATAATCAGATTGCCAACAGTTCCTTAAAAAATAGTTTTTAATTTTTGTAATCAAACCAGCTTAAACTAAAGTGTTCTGGAGAGAGCATATTGACGCACAAAATTTTTTTATTTTTTTATCTTAAAGTCGTAGGGAAAATCATATTTAAACCTCAAATCATTCTGGGTTAAACATGATTATAAATGTACTCTTTATCAGACGATATTGTCCCAAAATTTAGAAAATTGTCTTAAAATCTGTGTTCTTTTTCTCGTTACCTTATACAGGCCAGTTAGTTATACGTCAGCCTGAACACCTAAATTCGGCCAATCATATATCAAAAGTCATCTGTCAATCACATTTTTTTCGGTCATGGCATCTTGATTCATAAGTCGCAGTTAATATACGCAATGGTTGAAATAAGAATAATTTCCTTTCCTTTGAGTTCCGTCCCAGTGTTCACGGGGATGAACGTCTGTGTCTTCAGCAGGCGTAGAGCTAACAGAACTGGCAGCGTTGCGAGGCAAGGGCTCAAACATGTACGGCTGGAAGCCTTCTACACCAAACCAAGCTTCTGCCGCCCTGGCGTCCTCTTCCACAACATCTTCATCCCCACTTTCCTCCTCTAAATGAAAAATGTATGAAGGAGGAGACTCATCCACGACCTCCGACACTAAACTCTCCTCCTCTTGCATGTTTCCTCTGTCCATAGCGTTCCTTGACAGTGTCGTTTCTAAGTCACCAATTTAGTGCTACTTTGTCCCAATGGAATTTCCCATTGGGAACCTACTAGCACTAAGTTGCTAACTGGTTAGCAAGATACTTCAGAAAAAAACGGCCACAACCAAACTTGCTTGCGAGCCTTCCGCCTCAAAAATCCCGCCCCCTCGATAAACGACCAATCATATTCACTTTATTCACTCATGTAAAGTCGGGCACCATTCGTGAGAATTCGGAAAACTACGTTTGGAACAGCCGCTTTCCTACGACTTTAAATGCAAAATCTTTATATGTTTTTTACAATCTGGGTATAATTAATGCTCTAAATGGGTCACTCTGACAGCTAAGGGCATGCGTTAAACTCTCTATATTCCAGTTAATGAATAATTGACGGATATTTAAATTATTGATTAATCACAATTAATCTGATGGTTTTTTGCCATAGTTTACATGTTTTTTTCCTACATTGCACGATGATGATGATGATGATGATGATGATGACGACGATGTCTTCTGCAGTCTCTAGAGAACCGGCGAGAGGAGGCCCGCGCGTACAGCAACTTAGGCAGTGCCTACCATTCCCAGCGAGACTTTGACAAGGCCATATCTTACCATACGAAGGTGTTAGAGTTGGCACAGGAGCTGTCGGACAAATCGATTGAGATGAGGGCATACGCTGGTCTGGGTCACGCTGCTCGATGCATGCAGGTAGGTAGAACACCTTAACCATCTGTATACCATGCACTGAACTCTAACTGGAGAAATATTGTAATCTTTATGTTATGATGGTTGTAAGGACTTGGAGAGGGCCCGTCAGTACCACCAAAACCAGTTAGAGATTGCTCAGGAGCTACAAGACAGAGGGGCCCAGGGCCGAGCCTCCTCCAACCTGGGTAAGCCTTCTGGACTGACGACTGGCTGAATGCGAGGGGGTCTATTTGGGTGTCTGATATGTTGACATTATTTTTATTCATTCATAATACAAACAGTTTCAGTCTATATTTAATCAGATTTTCTAAGCTCACACTGTTGTTGATATTATGTTTAATATTTTGTGGGGTGAGACGCCTTTAAAGTCTCATGAGTCGTTGACCCACTTTCTATTGTTTTTGCCACCAATACTCAGTATTTCAACTAAGCTCCTGTTCGTACCTGGAAAAATATATTTATGTTGATCCGCAGCATTAAGTATCAGGCTGAGATAAATCTGCAACAGAACACTGGAAAAAATCTAAATCTAGATAAGTCGTTTTTTTCTTAAAATAAGTGCATTTGTTCTTGGATTGAGGAGCTAAATACACTTTGCCAATGGAACAAAACAATTTACACTTAAAATAAGAAAACAATATTGCATTTTTTTATTTCAAGTGCATATTATCTAATTATCGTTTTTTTAACAGTAAAAATACTCATTCCATTGGCAAACTATCTCATTTTCATACTGAAATACACTTAATTTAAGAAATCTGCACTTATTTCTAGATCATATTTCCAGTGAAGGAGCAGAAATACTTTTACTATGATGCAAAAACATCAGTGGCTGTGTTTATACAGTCAATTGTGAGAGGATAGGAGTATATGAGACGCCATGACTTCACCTGTTTTGTGTTCAGAGGCTATCACATGTCTGCATCATTGGCTCTGTGGATCATCAACAGTCATGTTTTATTAAGAGGGTTTTGGTTTCTGCGGCCCCAGTGATATCTGAGAGGTGGCGAATCCAACTCCAATGCTGAGTGGACAACTCAGCATACAGCTCAGATGTTAGAGGCACTGTGAGGGACCGACATTTTAAAAATGATGCCACCAAACTGTAGTTCAAGTGATGACAAATAAGAACCTTTAGCAACAATTACGACTTTCTCTATTTAAAAAAATATATCACATTATTAAAAAGCAGGAAGATAGCTTTCAATATTTATTTATTTTATTTTTTTGCTGCATGGATTTTAAATTTTTATCTTACTGCTTTCTGAACGTCCACCATCAGTTTCAGCCTCTAAAGAGCAAATTCTGTCTGAACTGTTTTAGCCAAGCTGCATCAAGAGAGGCTGTAAGTTGGAGGATTTTGATTGCTTTAGTACAATAATAAATAATAGTAATTCAACTTAATTGATCTCACTTTGGAGAAATTTACCTCTGCATTTAACCCATCCATTTGGAGAGCAGTGGGCTGCCGCTGTGCAGCGCCCGGAGAGCAGTATGGGGTTAAGAGACTTGCTCAGAGACCCAGAGTGGCAGTCTGTGGAAGTGGGGCTCAAACTAAGAACCTCAGTATGCCAAGCTCTATGCCCTAACCCCTAGAGCCCCACTCTGCTATATTTATAACCTGGCACGCTTTGTGTATGCCTTAGTGTATGTAGTAGAACTCTGTTGCTTAAACTTTTGGGGTTTTATTTAAAGGAATAGTACACCCAAAACATGATTAGCCTTCATTTTCTACTCACCCCCATGCTGAACAACACTCTGGAGTACTTTTTTGATATCTCAAATGCATCTGGAGATCTGGGAGGCTTCTTGCTGTCTGCTGACATTCAAATAATGGAGGTCCATGGCGCCCGAGGCAGAAAGGTCCATAAAAGTCCACAAAAAACGTGTCAATATTCCTCCATACTGCTCGTCCAATGTATTCCAAGTGTCCTGAGTGGGTAGCGTCCATAATTTACTCGAAACGAAGTCATTTAGAATGTTTTTAGAGCATAAACAGTAGTGTATAGGATTTCCTGAAAGCGCGTTCACGAGTCTACAGAAACCGCGGCAGACCAAACCAGATGAAAGTGCGCATTCAGCTCGGCAAAGAACTCATGCTCTTCCTCAACAATGAAGTCCTCAGACATTTTTCTTTCGTTGTTTCTTTCTTTGCACAGGTAAACAGCCCATTTCTTCTTCTACGCTTGCATTATCGGAAGAGCAGACGCTGAATGCGCACTTTCATCTGGTTTGGTCTGCCGCGGTTTCCGTAGACTCGTGAACGCGCTTTTAGGAAATCCTATACACTACTGTTTATGCTCTAAAAACATTCTAAATGACTTCGTTTTGAGTAAATTATGGATGCTACCCACTCAGGACACTTGGAATACATTGGACGAGCAGTATGGAGGAATATTGACACGTTTTTGTGGACTTTAATGGACCTTTCTGTCTCGGGCGCCATAGACCTCCATTATTTGAATGTCAGCAGACAGCAAGAAGCCTCCCAGATCTCCAGATGCATTTGAGACATCAAAAAAGTACTCCAGAGTGTTGTTCAGCTTGGGGGTGAGTAGAAAATGAAGGCTAATCATGTTTTGGGTGTACTATTCCTTTAAGCTAAGATTTTTTTATAACTTTACCATTAAACCCTATCAGACTCTAGTAATCAACCTTTTCCATTATATTTTGTAATACACATCCAAGGCTTCATTTTAAGTATTATAAGGAAAAAATATGCAGCGTTATTTTGTCTCCATGGAACCTAACTGTAGGTGCAATTTGGAGGTGAAGGTGTTTCTCCATAGCTGAAACAATAGGAGGAGAACAATGGTATCTATCCATCATCTTCCACTTCATCTGTCAGGGTAATGGTGGTGCTGGTGCCTATCTGCAGCAGTCTATGGGTGAGCAGGGTATAACCTGGTCAGTTCGACATTCTATCGTAGGGCAATGGTCCAGCTATAGTATTGTTTTTGTTTTGTTGTAACTGGAGAAGTCCCAGAACTACATGTGAGGTGCTTTCAGAAGAATTAAATATGTTTTTTTATTAGCAAACCTTAAATGTTGCTTTTATAAATACATTTTCTGCAAAAGACTAATCATATCACATGAAAAATGAATGCGTTCTCATAGCTCAGAATAAATTTTTTCTAAATACATATGGGGCCGGAAGCACGATCCGTCCTGCGCATGCGCGAACAGGTATACATCCGGGTGTCCATAAATAATGTAATTATGGTTGTAAAACTACTTATTTCTATCATTAACTTTCTAAAGAATGCTAATACACATCTTTAAAAATGTTTTATGACTTTTGTGAGACAATTTTTAAATTTTCTTCTTAAACTGCTTCTCTGACGTCATCATGGGACATGCTCAGAGCAGTCCGGCAAAAAATGATTAAACCGTGTTAATCTACATTTCAGCTGTTTCTTTAGATTACGCAATATATAGCATAAGGTTAAAATGAAACGAAAAACATTATACTTAAAAAAAAAAAAAAAAAAAAAAGCTTAAACTTCTGGTATTTTATTTAACCTACGATGACATATTTTTCCTTTGGAGTGAAATATATATTTTTCATTCTTGGTTAGTTTAAATTACTCTTTTTGTCTAAAATCAGTGAATCCATAACTTCTTAGCTTTGTAGAATAGTTTTTTTACTTTAGTATTGTTTGGTGAGTGTGTGTGTGTGTGTGTGTGTGTGTGTGTGTGTGTGTGTGTGTGTGTGTGTGTGTGTGTGTGCGTGTGTGTGTGTGTGTGTGTGTGTGTGTGTGTGTGTGTGTGTGCGTGTGTGTGTGGAGGAGGGAGGGGTTCACATCTAGTTTGGCTGCAGAAGATGAATCCTAAAATTTACCACAGGATGTGCCTCAGACTCTTTAGAACTAAGATCACTAAAATCGTACAGCATAACTGGCCTTATTCCGTTTCCTCTCACCATTTTTTTTACATCATAGTAGCAGTTTAAAGGCAACAGAGTAACGCTGTCACCACAAAGTGCTGTTTTTACTGTCTGAAGTAAGAGAAAGAGAAGCAAGAGCGCAGAAGATGCTTTGATGCGTGACTAACAGGCCTAAGCTGGAGTTGCTGACACGTTCCTGACAGACGAGCCTCAGTCTGTGGTTCGGATCAATGTTTCAGGTCATCATTTATGGATGATTACAGCTCTTTGACTGCTGACTTGACAACCATCCAGCCTTCCCTACTCCTTTTCTGTCTCCTTGTTTCCTTTATTTTCTGCTTCTCTTGTTCTCACCTTTCTGTTCTAGGGTTTGTAAGAAGAGAAAATTACATTTATTTAATAATTTGAACATCAATGTCTTAGCAGGTTAAATAGTATTGTAACCAGGATATTGTTTATTTGCCAACTGGAGGTCAGTTTTTAGTTAATATATTGTTTAAATTGTAGTTTTTCAGACAATAATTGGTCAGCTTTACAAACTTCTTTCTTACCTTTACAGTAATTAGCTTTGTGTGGCCTCTGGCTTTTTTTTTTTTATTATCCCATTTTACTTCTCCCTTCCATTCTGCTTTTATCTATTTGAGTAGTGTTGGCATTACTGTATTCATGAAGAATAGGCCAATGTGGACGGTGCAGCCTCTGGGTTTTGTATGGAGTAATTTTTGGTCCATTATTGATGCAAGCAAAGATCATATTTTTTAAATGAAAATTTTGGGATAATGGAATCCTTAAATTAAACATTGAAAAACTTCTTAAACAAAAAAGTTTTTTGTGTGTGTGTAACTTTGCTGTTTTCTCAGATTTTATTTTCCCACATTTTTTTATTCACATTATTTTTTTCTATTTATTTTTTAAATTAGATTTTTTTTCAAAATTATCTTTTTCATATTGAGTTTGCACATTCGCACATTTTTTTCAAATTGTATTTTACAGATCACACTATCTTCACTTCTGGGGGCAGACTTTCCTTTAGTGTGAGGAACAAAAATGTATTTCTATTGGTCTAAATGGACCTTAACAAAACATTTTTACTGGTCAAGAGATAGCGTTTTTATTGAGCTTAAAGTTAGGAGAATGTGATCTGTGAAACGCTTTTTTAAAAAGACTACAATTTGTTTTTGTTTTTTTTGTTTGTTTTTTTCATTATCTATTATTATTGTTTTTTTTTTTAATTTGTATATATTTTTTTTGTCATTAATTTTTTATTATTTATCTTTTTGTATTATAAAAAAGACTACA